AAAAATTTAAAAATATATATGTCGGATATAATATAAATTTATAATCAAATTATACTACTATTAATTTTATCAATAAAAATTAATACACATTTATATTATTATATTAATTACGTATCAAATCAGTACATATCAAAATTCCTCAAACTCAAACCAAATCCTAATATAAAAGAAACAAACAAACTCAAACATTTCTTAAAATTTAAATAAAAATTAAACTCAAATTCAAATTTCCCCAAACCAAACACACCCTAATTAAATTCAATATTAGTAAAAAATATATATGCAATTATTTTTTACGTGTATATATGTAATTATAGTTAGAATAAATTAATTTTAGTATTTAATTATTGTCACTAAATTTATTTTGATTAAAAAAAATATATACTTAAAAATATAATTTTATATATTTTTTTACACAACATACTTTTACTCATTTGACACTATTTATTTTTAAAAAAATATCACATTAAATATACTTTTTCTCTCACAAACATCAAATCAAATACTAATTTTTTATTTTTTCTAAACTTTCAAATTTCCAAAAACCTCCTAAAAACCCCTTTCTAAACAAATTATACTCCCTCCATCCAAGCTAAAAGTATACATTTACTTTTGGCGCGGAGATTAAGGAATAATAGTATTTTAATTATAGTGTGGTAAAAGTAGTAAAATGACATTTTTGCCCTTACTTTTTTGGTATAAAAGTAATGATGTGATGTAAAGTAAAGATATTTGTGGAAAAAATGAGATATTTAATGAAATAATTACTTTGTAATTGAACGTCCCAAAATAAAAATATGTATATTTTTTAGTTGGACGGAAGGATTATATATTTGGAGACCATAAACATTTGGCCCCGTCGCTCCTTCTATTTCTTTATTTTTTTTTTCGTTATTGTGGGACCATCAATAATAATAACAATAAAGAAAAAAAAAAGTAGAGGAAAGATTGGGGAAAGGCGGTTGAATTATTATTATTTAATTGTATATTTATATTTTGTTATATAATAATAATGTTGGTAAGCATATTTATATATATATCAATGTATGTAATACAATATAATATAATATTAGTAATGCAAGATTCTTAAAGCAAGGAAGACAAAATTTAATGTAGGATGAATTGGTCTTTTCATTTCATTTCATATAGGTATTTATAGGCGACAATATATCAAATAATTGATACAAAAGCATTCACGTCTGCGCTACGAAATATACACGTAGCTACTACGTTTACAATACTCCCCATTGGATGGTTTTATACAAAGAATGTGTCTCATTAAAATCTTACTATGAAAAAACCCTGTGGGAAAAAATCATAGTGAAGGAAAAAGAGTACATCATTCTTGTATTAATGCGCTCCCTCTGTTTTGGACTTTATTTGATGTTTTTCATCCGATGCATTCCAATTCCTTGCACTAGTTTGGTGAATGTTGCGGTCGGCAGCGCCTTCGTAAACAAATCTGCAAAATTTTCAGACGATCGAATTTGTTGCACATCAATTTCACCACTTTTCTGAAGATCGTGAGTGAAAAAGAACTTCGGAGATATGTGCTTTGTCCGATCGCCTTTAATATAACCTCCCTTTAATTGGGCTATACAAGCTGCATTATCTTCAAATAATATTGTTGGAGGTAATTTATCATCGGTAATCAAGCCACAATTTTTCTGAATATGGTGAGTCATGGACCTCAACCAAATGCATTCACGACTGGCTTCGTGAATTGCTAAAATCTCAGCATGGTTTGAAGAAGTAGCTGTTATTGTCTGTTTAGCAGATCTCCAAGAGATTGCGGTTCCACCACATGTAAATAAATAGCCAGTTTGAGATTTTGCTTTGTGTGGATCAGACAAATAACCAGCATCAGCATAACCAGTTAATTCATTTCGAGATTCACTCGAATAAAATAATCCGAGGTCATGAGTCCCCTGAAGATAACGGAAAATGTGTTTGATACCATTCCAATGGCGCTTTGTGGGGGATGCGCTGAACCTGGTCAGTAAATTTACTGGAAAAGATATATCTGGCTTGGTACAATTTGCGAGGTACATTAATGCGCCAATAGCGCTGAGATATGGTACCTCGGGGCCAAGTATTTCTTTATTTTCTTCTCTTGGCCTAAATGGATCTTTACTGGGATCAAGTGATCTGACCACCATTGGTGTACTCAGAGAGTGAGATTTATCCATGTAAAATTGTTTTAATACCTTTTGTGTATATGTGGATTGATGGATAAATATCCCATTATTAACATGATCCACTTGTAATCCCAGACAATATTTTGTTTTTCCAAAATCTTTGATCTCAAATTCTTTCTTTAGATATTCAATTGCAATTTGGATCTCTTCTGGAGTTCCAATTAAATTGAGATCATCAACATATATTGCAATAATGACAAAATTTGATCCATTTTTCTTTATAAAGACGCATGGGCATATTGGATCATTGGTATAACCTTCTTTTATTAAACATTCGCTCAGACGGTTATACCACGTTCGCCCTGATTGTTTAAGTCCATACAATGACTTTTTCAATTTGATGGAATATGATTCTCTGGGGTTTAATTTGTATGCTTCAGGCATATTGAATCCCTCGAGAACTTTCATATAAATATCAGTATCCAATGAGCCATAAAGATATGCAGTAACTACGTCTAAAAGACGCATATCGAGCTTTTCTCGCACTGCTAGGCTCACAAGATATCTAAATGTTATTCCATCAACAACTGGAGAGTATGTTTCATCAAAATCTACTCCAGGTCTTTGTGAGAATCCCTGAGCTACAAGACGGGCTTTATATCTCACAATTTCATTATGCTCGTTTCTTTTTCATACAAACACCCATTTGTATCCAACTGGTTTTATACCATCTGGTGTTTAAACAATTGGTTTGAAGACCTCTCTTTTATTTAATGAATCAAGCTCTGATTGAATCGCATGCTCCCATTTTGGCCAGTCATTTCTTTGCCGACATTCATGAACCGATTTTGGCTCTGGATCCTCGTTTTCTTCCATTATATCAAGTGCTAAATTGTATGCGAAGGCATTATCAATAATTGCCTCTTTACGGTTCCAACATTTTCTTGAAGTAACATAGTTAATTGAGTTTTCAATAATCTCATCATCTTCTTCAAGATCATGCTCTTCTGGAGCAATTATTTCAGGGTTGACTTCCTCATTAGATTGAGGTTTATCAATGTCACTCCTGATATTTTCATGATTTTCATCATTAATTCCTCTTTTCTTTCGAGGGTGTTTATCTTTGGAACCGAGTGGTCTGCCACGCTTGAAGCGTGTCGCTGATTCATTAGCACTTCCAATTTGTCCATCAGGGACAATTATTTTAGCCGGAGCATTAGCAGCTTGGATATATGATCGAGTGACTTTGCTCGAATCATTGAATGCATCCGGTAACTGATTTTCAATGTTTTGCAAATGTATAATGCGTTGAACTTCTAGTTCACACTGCTTTGTACGAGGATCATAAAAATTCAATGGGATTTTCCAATTAATATCCCTTTTCGGTTCGTTTTTGTCTCCCCCTAATGTCGGAAAATATGATTCGTCAAAATGACAATCTGCAAATCTTGCAGTGAATAAATCGCCCGTCATAGGTTCAAGATATTTTATAATTGACGGCGATTCATATCCGACATAAATGCCCAATCTACGTTGAGGACCCATTTTTGTACGTTTGGGGGGTGGAATAGGAACATAAACAGCACACCCAAAAATACGTAGATGAGATATATTTGGTTCGTGACCAAATACTAATTGCATCGGGGAGTAGCTATGATAGCTTGTCGGCCTCATTCTTATGAGTGTTCCTGCGTGTAAGATTGCATGCCCCCAAGCTGAAATGGGCAACATAGACCTTATCAGTAATGGTCTAGAAATCAATTGCAATCTTTTAATAAGTGATTCTGCCAGACCATTTTGTGTATGAACATGAGCAATTGGGTGCTCTACATTAATTCCAATCGACATGCAATAATCATCAAATGCATTCGATGTATATTCACTAGCATTATCCAGACGTATAGTCTTAATTGGATTATCGGGGAATTATGCCCGTAATTTAATAATTTGGGCAAGCAATCTCGCAAATGCCATATTGCGAGTAGATAATAAACAAACATGGGACCATCTCGTAGATGCATCAATAAGCACCATAAAATATTTAAATGGCCCACACGGTGGGTCTATTGGTCCACATATATCCCCGTGTATTCTTTCCAAAAATGTAGGTGATTCAATACCTACTTTAGCTGGCGATGGCCTGGTTATCAATTTTCCCTGAGTGCAGGCAACACATGTTAACTCATTTGAGTTTAACACTTTTTGACCTTTTAATGAATGGCCATGCAAATTCTCAATTATTCGCCTTATCATTATACTGCCAGGATGCCCAAGGCGATCATGCCATATTTGAAAATCGGTAGTCTTTTGATCTACCGTGAGGTGTGTTTCAACAACACCTAATTTGGCATAATATAAGCCAGTAGAAAGTGAGGGTAATCTCTCAATGATGCATTTCCTTTTATCAATGATATTGGTGATCAATAAAAATTCACCATCGGTATCACTCATAGTTTCAATGTGATAACTATTTTTTCGAATGTCATGAAAGCTCAGTAGATTTCTTCGAGTTTTAGTGGCCAACGGTGCATACTGTATCACAATTTTCGTCCCCGCGGGGAGAAATATAATGGCTTCTCCAGAGCCTTCAATTAATTTCGCACTGCCACTTATTGTATTGACATTCATTCTTTCCATTTTCAAATGGGAGAAATATTTTTCGTGTTTCAATATAGTGTGTGTCGTTGCACTGTCAATGAAACACATATTTGCATCATTTTGATTGGCATCCATTAAACCTTCAAATATAAGTAAACGCAGTATTAATAAAGGCAGATATAAGTATTACAAAATACATTACAAAAAGGTAATATGCGATAATTTAAATATTACAAAAACATAATGTAAAATGACATAATATGTCTATCGCTGGGTGTTTGCTGGATCTACGACAAAATCCGCTATATCAAGATGCGTTGTGTCGTAATCCAAAAGATCATCATCGGGGTCGTCATCGTTATCAACGTGATTAGTCTCGACCTCCTTCCCCTTTTTCTGCAGTGAGGCTTGATAAAGATCGGCTAGGTGTTTGGCTGTTCTGCAGGTATTGGCCCAATGGCCTTCAATGCCACACCGGTTACAAATGCCGATTTGCCTCTTTCCCTGTTTAGCCTTTTCGGCTATATCCCCATGTTGGGGTTTACTCTGCATCCTGTTAATGTCAAAACTGCAGCGATTGTAAGGGGTATATCGACCGCGTTGATTCTCACGACCGCGACTACGTCCACAGCCTCTACCACGTCCTCGGCCTCGTTCAGAAAATGTCACGTTCGCTTTAGGGAACGGACTGGAACCAGTGGGCGGGGACTGATGATTTTTCATCAATAACTCATTATTTTGCTTAGCTAATAAAACACATGCAATGAGCTGTGAGTACTTTTGAAAATTTTTCTCGCGATACTGCTATTGCAGCACAACATTAGAGGCATGAAAGATAGAGAGGTCTTCTCCAATTTATCATTCTCAGTAACATTTTCTCCGCAGAGTTTCAATTGAGATGTAATCTGATGGATATCAGAGTTATACTCTGTAACAGTTTTAAAATCCTGCAACCGTAGGTTAAGCCAATCATGTCGGGTTTTGGGGAGAGTGATATATTCCAAGTGCCCAAATCTCTCCCTCAATTCATTCCACAAATCTAGTGGATCTTTCACCGTCAAATATTCAGACTGTAGAGGAATGTCCAAATGATGACGGATGAAAATAATAGCCTTAGTCCGATCTTGGCTTGTAGCCGCATTTTCACTGGCAATTGTATGAACAAGGCCCATTGAAACCAGATGCATTTCTACATCCAGGGACCAAGTCAGAAAATTATTGCCGGTGAGAGACAAAGGTTTAAAAGAAAATTTTGCAAAATTTTTCATAATGTAGAAAATAGATAATATAAATAGTATAAAAATAAAACTTACCAAAAATAAAATAGACAAGAGCCTCGTGTTGATAACGTGTTAATATAATAATAATGTTGGTAAGCATATTTATATATATATCAATGTATGTAATACAATATAATATAATATTAGTAATGCAAGATTCTTAAAGCAAGGAAGACAAAATTTAATGCATGATGAATTGGTCTTCTCATTTCATTTCATATAGGTATTTATAGGCGACAATATATCAAACAATTGATACAGAAGCATCCACATCCGCGCTACGAAATATACACGTAGCTACTACGTTTACAATATATTTAACTTTATAAATATTTCTTATGTCCCACTTAAATTGTTTACTTTAGATTTGGTACCGAGTTTTAGATATTAAGTAATTAAATTAGTAATTAAAAAATGTATTAATAAAAATAATCAAATATTAAGATGATTAAATATTTTAATTAAAATAAAAAAATTATAAATTATGAACTTTAAATAACTAAAGTGTATAATTATATTTTAAAAAGAAAAAGAATTGACAAATTACGTGGGACTGTCGAAAATATATTAAAAGTGAACAAAATAAGTGGACAGAGAGAGTATAATTTATTACTCCTTCTGTTCTAGGTATTATGTCAGTATTATAGTCACGCAGGATTCAGTAGGAATAAATAATTAAGAATGTATTAGTAAAATTAAATACAATATAATATAAATAATTATAAATTAAGGTTAAAGATAACTAATTAGTCTAATAAAAATTTAAAATGTTACAAATTATAAAATTTAAAATATGATTAAAATGTATAATCTTTCTCTAAAAAAGAAAAATATCATAATATATGAGACGGACGAAAATAAAAAATGTGATATTATATGTATATAAGACAGATAGAGTATTATTTAAATGATATGTTTATTTGTAGGATTTTGATTTGTATTTTGATTTTGACATATTAAGAGGGTTAATAATTTTATGTCAAATTTGATTAAAAATATTAAAAAAAAATAATTTGGGATATTCGACAATTAGTTGTTGGTTTACACTTGGTTCTATTAGATTGTTTAACTAACCGAACAAATTAAGAATTTTTGCAAAAATATTTGATAAAATAATTGTTTCTTAACTATTTATACGTAAAATGACAATTAATAATTTTTATTTTATTTTTAAAATAGTTAATTGCATTCTTTCGGTGTATAGAAATTTTATTATTAGTTATTGGAAACTATGAAATTTTAATAAAAATATTTGTGTTTGTTTTTTTAAGTGGAATTGGGTCCACTTTTAATTTTATTTATTTATATTTCTCACCCATTTCGTTTTTTTTTTTCCTGATTTTTCTTTTTACATTTGTTACATTATTAGGTATTCATTTGATTTTTTTTAAAATTTTGAATATTAATATTATATTTATAAGTAATACAAATTAAAATAAAAAATAAAAATATTTTTATTAGTGTTATATAATACAAATATTAAATATAATAATATTTGTATAAAATATTATTTAAATATAAAATTATTTTTATTTTAAGTACAATTAAATAAAAAACAAATGAATATATTGATGAAAAACAGAAGTAATATTCTATTACTATAATACTATTACTAATATTTTTTTTATAATTTTTATTTTACATATAATTATCTATTATCATAAGTCAATCAAATATCTTTCATTTTATCAAAATAAAATAATTATATTCCATCTAATCATTCAAATAAAAAATTTTATATATAAACACATTTTAAAAATCAACATTTAAAAATCCTCCAAACTAAGATCGCACATATAAATACATCATATATTATTTGGATTTTAAAATAAAATTAATATTGCTCAATTTGTTTATTACAAAATACTTATTTGGATTGGATTTTGGATTTGAAATTTGGAGAATTTTGAAATATGAATTTTAAGCTGTGTTTGTTTGTGAGTTTGAATTTTGTAATGATTATGTTATTTGAAATTATTATTTTATTAAAAAATGATATATTGATGTAATAATTTGAAAAAGATGATATTTTATTATTTTATTGAAGAAAATGATATATTTAGATTTTGAAAAATTATTTTTTTGTTTCTTTTATTTTTTTTGTGTGTTCTTTTATAATTTTTTTTTTAAATTTCTACTATTATTAAAAAAAAATAAATTCTAAAAACATCAAATCAAATATTTATTTTTATTTTTAATAATATACTAAAAATTAATTTTATATTTAAAATATCACGTCAATATCCATTTATAACACATTATACTATTAGTTCAATTTATTTTACTATTTAAATCCCAATAAAAAAATTCAAATCCCCAAACAAACACACAACATATTTTTATTTTATATTATTTTATTTTTTCTACTATTTTATTTGGTGAATTACACCATTCTTATTTATTTCGCCTCTTGTTGCCATAATATGTCATGGAGCAAAAATCATTATTAGTTTCGTTCAAATTCAACTTTTTCACTTTTAAACCCACTCAAAAAATATTATCAAAATTGATTTCATACAAAATATAAATTATAATTTTTAGTTTCACTGTTCAAATTTCAACGGATCGTGCTGATGTGGCTGTAACGAAAGCTGAAGTGGTAGCCAAATCAGATCGAACACAGACGTATTACATAAAACACGGTCATGTTTGACCTTAGAACTGTTTTCCATCACGGCCAAATTAAACACAGGCGTGTTTACTATAAACACGTCGTGTTCAATCTCAAAATACATTCAATCTCTGGACACAGACGAACCCTTAGATGCACACACATGTTCTATGTTAGACACAAATACATAGGCTTTGTTTACACAACACACTACACTATTCATTTTTCAAAAAATATCATATCAAATATACATTTTTTTTTTCTTACAAAAACATCAAATTAAATATTAACTTTTTATATTTTTCAAACTTTCAAAATTTCAAAAACCTTCAAAAATCTCTATGTAACAAAGTATAATTGAGATAGATAGATATATGTAAGTAGGTAACTAGAGTAGACTATCAAATACATAAGTGTGTGCAGGTGTGTTTTGATTGTGAAATTTTATTCCGAATTTTATTACTTTCTTTGTCCCAATATAATAGTCTTCTTTGCTATTTTTGTTCATCTCATAACAATAGTCATATGTCTACAAATAATTATATCACCATAAAACTACTCCAACTTTTTTGTTATTATTACTCAAATATTACTTTTTTTTTACACTAATACACTCACAAACATAAAAAAAAAAAAAAAAATTACCCATAATTTTTACCAACATAATTAAGATTATAGTTTTGGAACCTGAGAGAATATTTATTAATTTTTTCCCCAAAAATATTAAATGAAACATATTTTTTTATTTTTTATTACATTAAAAATTTATTTTATATTCAAAATATTATATTAACATCTATTTATATATACGTCGTACATTTATTTTAATTCAATTTTTTTATATATTCAAAATTAAAATTCAAAAATAAAATCACTAACCAAATATCCCAGACTCGTTCCTTGAATTTGTTCAGTCCAATCAATGTAAACCCCACTTATTATTTATTCATTTTTATAAAAGATGACATACAAAAATAAAAAAATCTGAAAATTTTGATTATTTTGTGTGCTCCAAAACTTTATTTTTCTCTCTCTCATTCATTCAATTGCCATACACACGGGTTGTGCATAAAAGAGCACGCCGTGTTTGTAGACAACCACAAATTCTGAATTTGGATTTAACACAGGTGTGTTTGACAAGCATGCCCATGAAAATAAGTATTTTTTTTTTTAATGACTTGTGAACATGTAGCTGCTACTCGAAAGTGCGCACTGAGTAAACCTTCGTGAAAATAACTAGGTTTTGAAGTTGAACATGGTGGTGTTTGTAGTAAACATGGCCGTGTTCGATCTGATTTGGCTGCCACCTCAGCTTCCGTGACAGCCACGTCATCACTGTCCGTTGAAATTTTAACGATGAGACTTTAAATAATAATAAATTATATTTTGTACAAAACCAATTTTAATTTGATGATATTTTTTGAGTGAGACCAAAAATAAAAAATTTGAATTTGAACGAAACTAATAATAATTTTTGCTCTATGTCATGGTATTAAAACGTCAAATCACATTAATTACTGTGGATGAATTTGACACAACTCAGGACGCCGGACGCGTAGGATTTAGGGTAAGATTTCAAATTAAAATTTTGTATAATATTTATACAGTATTTTATTTATCCAATCAACGAACATACCCTATATAAAATTATTATTTAAACTAAAAGTAAAACTAAAACTCTAATTTAACTAAAAACCATATAAATTCTTAAATTAATTGAAAATAAAATTATAGAGATAATAAGAATAAAATTTGAATCTTCTCCTAAAAACATAAATAAGTATAAAGAAAAATATTTATAAAAATTCGAGTATACATCACTAATATTATAT